AATAAATGATTCATATAACAGACGAAATCGTATGATTAATAAAAAAAATTATTTTAAACTATAAAACTAAACAATGTATGACCAAATATTGTAAGCTTATGATTAACAATGTATACATTTTATGTGTCTTATCTGAAACGATAGCAGTGTAATAATTTATGTGGTTCTAATGTTAATTCAATTATTTTAATTATTAAATCACAGTTAATCTACTGTACAAAAATAACAATAATATACTTTTTATACGATTGTACTTATCAGGTTTTTTACTAATGTATCTATTTTTTTCAAACTGTTCTTAACAATTAAATGATAAAACGGTGTTTTAATTGTTCTAATCTTTCAGGTTTTGTAACGCTTATTTTTAATATTTATATTTTTTAAATATATATATATATATATATATATATTTTTTTTTTAATGTAAAATTATCGTATTTATTCTACATATGGTAAAATGTTATAAGTACATATATTATTCACGTGTAGGTTTTATGATTTTTGATATGTTTGATATTTTGATGTTTCTTCTATTTAAATAGATACTTGTATATATATAAAAAAAAATGTTTTGAATTAAGATAAAATAAATTTGAATTAGGTATTATGTGGACAAATAAAATTGAAATACCTGTTTACCGAGTTACGTACACTTTAAAATTGATTTTACCTGTTTAAGAAATCTTGTTTTAAATAATAATAATTTAATATCAAAGAATCTAACCTGATTTTTTAAGTTACTCAAAATTATGTTATTCTTAATTTATGTTTTTGAATTTAAAATCATTATATGTACGTTTTTGAATGATTCGCGAAATTACTTTTATTAATTTCTATTAGGTTTGATAATATTTCTTTTGAGCCTATAAGACTGCGTGAAAATATTAAGGTTTAATTGGTTAAATGCTCATGTATTTTTAATCTTATGTTTTGAAATTACCCGGTGCTTATTTTATAAATTCGAATATTGCATCGTGTGTTAAATCATTGGACAAATAATTGATCTATACTCGTGTAAATGAACATAACACTATAACATTACGTAATTCATCAAATATAATTGTTATTTTATTAAAAATATATATAGGATTATAGGATTTAAATTTTTAATTAATAGTATAGCTATAAAACTAAGTAAATTTTCATATATATTTTGTCAATACGCATTGTATCCGTTTATAGTTATTGTAAATCTAATTTTTTTTTATAAAAATATTCCGAAATACACTGTGATCAGAGATAAATTATTGCATGGTAACTTAAATGAGTAATTTAAAAACAGTTTGCTGAAATTTTAATGGTTGAGGCTATAAAAATATTTAAAAAAATTAATTTAACTTTATGGTTGCTTTTTCGTGTTTATATAATATCCATATGTAATTTTAAATACTGTATAAATTGTATACGAACAAATTTATGTCACGATGTTCAACAGATTTTAATGATTTTATTTCTTCGGAGTTTATAGTCGAATACTAAAAAACTTTCATAATATTATTTTAGGTCATATATATCAGAATAGTAGATAATGAAATAATAAATCTTAAATCAATTAAAACAATGAAAATAATGAAATATTTTTTGTTAGTATTACATTTCATGCATATTAAGAACTAATGTATTTATTTGCATTTATGTAAATAAATATTTAAATTAAATAGTTGTATCAGTAAGAAAATAGCACCACAATGTCTAAAATGCACTGACTTTCATTTGATCTCATGTATTTACAATTACTTTATATTATATTTTAATCGATAAAATTCAACAGAAACGTTTTTTGTGTTGTAAAATATTTTTTACTAGTTTAAATGAGGATAGTTGCAGAAAAGTTTCTTTAAAAACATGGTATGTTCAAAGTATGAAATTGGTTGTTTTTTTTTACGGTGTAATGGTTATATACTTTTTTTTTGTATTATTATTATTAAAAATTATATAAATTATAAACACATATCAGAAGTGTAGTTTAAACGAACAGATTTTCTACCTGTTGAACATAAAAATACAATAAATACTAACGAGGCGTGTAGATGAGTTTATTATTTTATTCGGGTCCGTATTACTATATGTTACTCGTATTATTATTTTAAATAATTTCTTTCGAGGTCGTAGTATATACTTGTAGTTCCTGTTTTATTGTATTGTTTTATTTGTTCACCTATATAATGTCTCCGTATCCAAATAGTAGTTTACAACATAGAGCACACGACATTTTAATATATTAGTTGTATTAATAAAACATAATAAGTAAGCAATTGTTCGAAGAAAATGGTATTTAAAGATCTTTAGTTTTTCCTTGAATCTGCCATTGCTTTCAAATATATTTGAGGTCAATCATAAGTAATTATCGTGTAGGCCATATTCAAAAAAACCTCAAAATATGTTTCAAGTATGCATAGTGTGTAAGTAACTCATGGCTATATATTATTATGTTTTACAACACTCGCGACGTACACCTAATCATTTTGAAAATTAATTTTTAGCTCGGTGTACTGATTAAGTTAATACGATTTAACAGTTTTTCTGGTTTTTATTCGTGAAATTCAGTGTCATTCTTTCATTCGTTGCGACAGCAATTATTGCATTTCGTAGAACTTATAATTACAATAAATATGATTAGGAACGGTGAACTATTGTTTTATGATATAAACGGTCAACATTTTGTTTATATTATTATCATTATTCTAAGTGTAACCTGTCGATTACAGTATTGCAGCTAATTTCATTGGACGCAATACATAGACATGACCGAATTTCATCATGTGTCTATGCAACGGAACAATTCACTCCGGTATCTTCTCTTATTATTCTTGGGTAATTCATGTTTATATATGCGCGTACCTAGACGATTTACACGGGTCGACGTTTAAAATGTATTCGAAATGAAATGCGTGGAAGTAAACGAATTAAATATTTATCGTTTACTTATGTTGTGCGGTGCGAGGAGAAAAAAAATTCTACGAGGACTGATATTATTTTTCATTGAGAACTTAAATGGGTCACATTAATGGAGTTTTCGCGTCGATTACGGTCGTAAGCCCGGAGGGTTTTACTGTTTCCAATAAATCGAACGATTACTGCGTTGATAACTATATTATACTATACGTATGCTGTCCATTAGGTCTACAGCGGAATTCCAGTTTAATAGCGTGAAAATCGCGTAACACTGCGTTAATGGTACAACGACATGCATATACACTGCGGGCTGGCGCGTTCCTGTATAGGAATCGAAATCCTCTCACGTCACATCTACTACTACAGGCACACGAGGTCGAGAAACTATTATGCACCGACGAGCGCGTTTTTCACAGGGAAAAATATCGTACTGCGCGTAACCACACTATATACATGTCGAGTACACGTCTAAACGCGAAGGTTCGATTTTTCCGGAAATGCGATCCACACACACACACACACACACATACTAATAGATAATACACATAGAAAATCGTATTTAGGTACATATAGGTACACAAACGTCGCGTATGTTACGGTTGTGCAAGCGAACCGCGAGTGATAGCGGTTACGATAGAGATCGAATAGTTTTCGTAACAGAATGACAAGTCCGTCGAAATACCATAGATATCGTATACAAATTACATGACAATGAATAATAATAATAATAGAAATAACAATTATAATAATCGACCTGTAGGTTATCTGGGTGCGAGATTGAGTCACCGCAGCAGCGTACACGGTCGTCAAGCGCGTACAGTCCGTTTTAGTGTGCTATAGTACCGTGTAGCGTTCGGTTCCTCGTTCACGGTTTGACGGGTTTATTTTTGGCTTGTAAAAATATTAGTTTTAATAAACATCAATATAAAAGTCGACTCGGACGCGCAGGGTATACATTTGTAATATTCGCATCCTACATCTCGTCGATGATGATACACCGTGGGTATGTCGGCATTTTTACGTCAAAACAATTATATGGTGTCTGTACGGATAACGAACGATGATAAGTTATCATCGATAACCGTGTGTAGAATTTACCATACCGAGCGAGTGTGTGTACTGTGTATGTGTGTGTGTGTGTTTGCGCGTGAGCTCGTACGCGTGTATACGTGCGCGCGCGCGTAATTGTAAACGTAAGTGAGAGTATGCGTGTGTACGCGAGTATGTGTGTGAGTGCGCGTGCCAATGTACTACGTATGAGTGTGCGTGCGATTACAATCTCCCTCTAATTTATGCAATGGCAACAATAATAATTCGCGACGTCGGCTGTACGGTGGTAGGGATATTTAGTGAACCAAGGCAGAATGGCGCGGCGGCGACGATGACGGCGGCAGTGGACTCGGCTGTCAGTGCCGATTCTGTGGAGTGTCTGCGCCAACCGAAAAAAGCACAGGTCCACACACAGACGAAATATATAGTAAAACATATATAAATAATTTTTTTTTTTTTTTAAAAAAAAATACACGATTGAAAACATTATTATTTGCGAGTGCGCCGTTGACGACGACCCGGAACCGTGCGCGTGGGTGTCTCGAAATAAATAATAATAATAATATTAATAATAATAATTATTATATTAATAATAATAGTAATAATAATAATATTATTAATATATTGTTCTCTGTGTGTGTGATTTTTGTTTGTTCCGGCGTGGTGTGTGTGTGTGTGTGTGTGTGTGTGTGTGCGCGCGCGCGCATACGAGCACTGTATTTTCTCCACCGGTGGCCGTGGATAACTGCAGACAGAAACGAAAATTCCAATTTTTGAAACGCTCAAAAGTTTATAATATGTACACATATGTTTATTGTGTTGGTTCATAAATAGATATATTTCATATTAAAACGTAGAAGTTTATTGATTAAAATTTTATCGAATTTTATGTCGAAAGTCGATTGGGAAAATAAAACTAATTTCGTCGAGAAGATACACTATAATATAATCGTACTGTTATTATTATTGTTATTTTTGTCATAATTACTATTTTATTAGATTTTAGTTTTTTCTATTCTTTTTCTCATCGCATCGAATTGTCTGCTCTGTTTTCAGGGCTCGAATACAGCCACTGAGTCACCGGCGCGTTAGCAAACTGAAGACACTAGTCAATGTTACTGGAACGCCAGCCGGCAAATCAGCATCAAAGATTGTTACAAGGAAGTAAGCTCTCGAAAAAACAAAAATTTTCATCCCCGTTGGATTCAAGAATATACTAACTTACTTATCGAGGCCAAAAATTAATTTTTTCATTAATTATTTATATAAAATAAAAAAATAATAATTTATATAAAAGCTTCAAATTCATCGTTTTGCTGGGAAAATAATCTTGATCTGTGATAGTGTTATTTTTATTTAAATATCGTATTTTGAGTATTATTACGATCACTTTTAGTTTTTGATTTTTTGAATTTTATTTTTTATTTCACTCCGTTAAAGTCATTAAGAAAAAAAATATATAAAATGCCTCAAAGTGCGGGCGTACTTACAAGTTTTGTTATGATAACTTTAATACTACTGATGAGTTCCTTATACGGATGTTGGAGTTTGGATGCGGATCAACATGTTGCTTTGTCGCCCACATGTGAAAGGTAAGATAGGTCTCTATATTGCATTTTTGTTATCTCCATTAATTGCATCAATTTGACAAAAGCTATTTAGTATAATTGATTTTAAAACTGATGTATATTGTTTTTTTTAAAAAATTTCTTTGAATCAAATCGTTAGATAAATATTATTTATAGTAAATTGTCTTCTATTTCAATAGAATTCCAAAAAAAAAAAAAAAAAAAAAGAACTCGCCTTATAAACATTTGGAGGATAATAATGTTGATTGGCCTTCCTTGCGCGAGTTATTTAAAAAATTTCCATACTTCGTTTGTGTTCCTATACTCTCGCGTAATGTTACAGTAGTTTTTTGCTATCATATTTAGAAAAGTATTCTGCACTACTTGTACTCTCTTCTAACAATATAATTGATAGTAGGTACTTACTGTCCGATGAGATGAAAATAATTGTAAATTATTAGGTATGCACATTTTGAGTTTGATATGGATTCCTACGCTAAAAATTCATATATAACTTAATCGCAAGTTATTTAAGACTTTTGGTCAAAGTCTTTCGGTAAAGTGAAATAATAATATCTTGAAAATTATAATTTATAAATAAAATATGAAGTTATTTCGCAATTTCCAACTATCAATCGCATTTTATTTCCTAATTCCTGCCCGTTATATAGTGTGTTATGCATATCACGAAATTTCTCCGTAATTCTTTGATGACTGACATTTTATTATTTATACCTATCCCTTCTGAGATCGAGTGTTTTAATTCATTATTTTTAACAAGTATAAAATAATCAATATAATTGTGCAGCGGTAATTATCAAAAAACTAAAGCTTCAGGCAATTTTGCCGAATAAATTTAATTCTAATGATAATTGGCCTATTTATCCCTTGTCTGTCTGCTAACTTTTTGTTTCTTTTTTTTTTTTTTTTACTTCTCCTTTCTAGGCGATCTCTGCCTGTACATATTATAACTCGTTTAATACAAACCAGCTCCCGCATTGCAGCATTAAAATATTAATTCAAGGTTCGTGGTACGATATTTATCTTGGCCGACACTTGTTTTTTAGTGTACTAACTATTGAAATTTCAACTCCTCGCAAATTATACTTGAACGTATTGCAAACACGTTCTCGGTGAATTTTATATATAATATATGACCGATTTTTTTATTATTATTTTTTCGTACGATTTTTCAGTAGGTAATTAAAGTCTGGTTGGTGTTATTTTTTTTTTTTTTGGAAAAAATGTCCAATATATTTGGCGATGGGTGCCAATTTAAAGTAAATTAATTCGTACTTTATCTGCTTTTGTTGTCGTCAAAACGTACGCTATAGCGGTTCCCTGACGTCACTAACTAACTATATTGGCTACTCTCGTAACTTGACAATATACATTTCCTAAAATTAATCTTATATGTCAGCTATGTAGAGTAATATTATTTTTCTGTATTTTTCTCTCCCTATTTCTATTTTCGCAATACTGTGTGCACCTACTGTTCGTATCTATTTTTACATTTTTAACTCGACTTATGCGTTATCTCAACAACTTCATAATCAAATTCTAGTTAAGTTTCACCAGAGAATGTTTAAAAAAAAAATAAGGCTTAATGAATATAAAAAAAACACATGTCGATTATTTAATTGCTACATAAATTATCGGTAATTAATCTAATCACGAAATTTTCTTATCGCATAAAATATAAGCCAATGCTAATTACCCATGGCTTATGGACACTATTTACTCATGTAAAGCGTTGTAGGTTCGAAGTATATGGGTTCATAGTTTAAACTTATTACTGTTTTATACTCATTAGTACAATCAATCGTGTTAAATGTTACGCACCGATAAAAAGCTTACGTTTATTAGAAAGTCCTATTAAAGAATCTACGACAAATATTGTCATATTTTTTTTACGGTATCTTTCGGTTTTTGTGGCGTGATTTCAGCACTCGTCTATTTATACCGTTTTACTTTTTTTTTCCTATTCTCGTGTTCACAAATATTTTGGCAAGATTACAAAGATTTACCCTAGTATAGCTGGGTTTTCTTTCAATTTTATGTCATTCAAGGTTTTCGGAGTAACCAAAAGAAGAAAAAACCGTGGCACTTTTATGATAACTAAGCAATAGTAACACTGATCTTGCTGATATGACACTTAAAAATTGCTGTTATTGTCTTTTTTTTTAATATACGCACGATAATCAAATTAAAAATACTACTGCAGTTCGTCAGATTTGGATTCGCGGATTTCGAAGTTTTAGTCGTGAAACAAAATATGAAAGCATACCCTGGAGTAGTAGTGGAATTAGCTGAAATAAAAATACTTATTATAACGCCAGTCATCTGTACGTATGATATTTACTATTTATCAATACAATGATATGGCTATATGGATAATAATTTTTACTTTTTCTCTCTCTCTCTCTCTTTCTTTATCATTATTTAAATTCAATTTAATGCTTGTGAATAGTCGCACAGCATATTATTTGAAAGTGAATTGTGTAGGTCAAATTATTCGAAATCGGTTCCATTGATTAGTCTTCGGTCTATTAGTTCCAGCGATCATAATAAGTTACGTTTATGACTGGCTTTATTATTATTATTGTTATTAGTCATATAAAACAAATCCTACCGGTATAGACTACCTTCACATGTGCCAACGAATCGTTTTCAAATCTGCACGCAGTTACCGTTTGAAATTTATAGGCACATTCATTGTAACGTGATGTATTTTTTATTTATTTTTTCCGATATTATCTCATACGATCTTCCTCCAGACGTTAAGTGCGTATACAACCGATACCTATACGTGTTCTCAATCGTTGCTGTGTTTATTTTTAACGTTATTTTTGATTCACGGACCTAGGATGTGGGTCATGAAAAAAATATAATAATAATAATAATAATTGCATGTGTACATATTATATTCGTATGTACTGTTACTTATTATTCGTACCTGTGTGCGTTTTGTCTTGTGGCTCGCGCGCGACATAGTGTATTCGTCTAACGAAATAGCTGTGTATTGGCAACCCGTCAATTACTACGTGCGTGCGTGTGTGTGTGTGTGTGTATGTGTGTGTGTGTGTGTGTGTGTGTGTGTGTGTGTGTGTGTGTATGCGTGTGTGTGAGTGAGAGAGAGAAATACTAGTTACATATGGCTGCCTGTCGTTGATGGGGTTCTAATTGATGTCAATGTCAATCAAATCCGTTTTTCTTTACCTATTCTCAGATAATAAGCTGGCAAAATTTGATAATAATATCAAAAATAAAAATAGTTTCAAAAGTTTTACCACCCGATCCATATCTTGTAATAATCTGGTCTTAGGATTATTTTATCGATGCGAGAGTGACGATATGATGCATATAATATTCTATATTTTTATATAATATTTACATATCACATATAAATAGTAGCATACATGTATACATATATACGAGTACTACTAATATAAATTATAAAATCGTTACAATGCTTAAACCACACAATTTGCTACTTTGAATGCGCGTGCACACTCGCGAAACCGTTTTCATATATTATTACGTCTTTATACCATCCCCATCGCAAGTGTGACGTGACCTTACGTACATCCTAAACTCATAACCCATGTAGACGAACCATATTATTATGCAATAGCACACCTAGTGCCAATTCGTTGTTATTACTATTATTATTATTATTATTATTTTATTAACAACACAATGTGTAGAAAATATCATAAGAATGTTGGCGGCATAGTGAGCTGAGCGATTAGGACACGTGAAGAATTATACGTTCGAATTAAATTTGAATTATAAATATATGTATTCTTGTGAGTAAATCGCCTTTTAAATTTTATATGTATTTAAGGACAATAACCCTTAAAAATTAAGGTCATGTTTTTAAAATGACTTTCTTGTCATTTCCAGTTGATAACTACTATATAGATATCCAAACCGCGCGACTGATTATGTACATGAAAAATTAGTTGGATATGTCAAGGTTACCTTAGACCTCGAACATGTACAAATTAATGTTGAATTATATTTTTATGGCTATTAAAATCCTATAGTTCTATCATTTTTCAAAACAAAGAGTTTAACTCAAAAAATTCTGTCTAATTGATCATTAGGTATTATATTTTTCTATAAATGTATCTTGGCTAACTTATATAAGCAATACATTTGATGATTAGGAAAACAATTGTAAATATGTTTAATATGAAGGAGCAATAATACAATTAGTGCATAAATAAAATACTTATTTGCTTTCACCCTCAATAGTTTCCAATTTAATTTTTAATTACTTGACTTTCAATATTTATATAAAACTGTCTTTCTGTTTTTAAAAACCTACGTGTACATTTGTTTTTTTTACCAATTTTGCAACAAAATATTTATTAACGTATAATGAAACTATTGTTTTAAAAATGTTTTATATGCGAAATTGTATTCATTAAAATTTCTAGAATTAAACAATAAAAAAAGTCAATTTTTTTTTTTTTTTTGTAAAAATTACATTAGTATTATTTAAATATTTAATTCAATTTAATTTAAAACTAGTTCCTAAGTTGATGGTCAAATATTACTTATCTATTAAAATTAAAATTTTCCATGCGTTTTAGAATGTTGGTTTCAATTATTAATATTAAGTAATCATTTCCGGGCTGCTATAGCTACTGCTAGAATTATTCTTCATTTTTATTTTATTGCGTATACTTAAATTAAATTTTAAAAGTAATAAATTGGTAATTATTGTAAAAAACTTATAAAAAAGGTATTGATTTTTTTATATTGTTTTATTTTTAAATTTTGATTCTAAGTTATCATAAATATATTTTTTTCTTATCACATTAATAAAATATATAATTTTATTCTAGTAACTTATTGACCAAAACAGTTCATGTAAAAAAAATATAGATTATAGGTGTTAATTCAAAATATAAAATAAACCTACTGTAAAAGATAATAAATTTAATTATATACTTTTTTTTTTTTTACTATACTTTTATATTTTTAGGATATACTTATTTTAAGGTTTTTATAGTGGTCATATTATAATGCATATTTCAGTACTTTTCAATGCTATAAAATCCAAACCCTGATAATAATATTTTAATATAGAGTATATTATTATTATACATATTATAATAATTAATTTACTTTTACCAAAAAAATTAAGAAACCTCTATCCCAAATATAAGTTAAAACTTAAATCGTTAGCTCTATTTTATTTTTGTTTCAACCAAAAAAAAAAAAAAAATTATATTTTATGTTTATAATTAATTTTTTCGTGGTGTACTAATAAGTTATAAAGAGCTATTTATATTACATTTTTGAATTACTGTTTACTATATTTTAATATTTATTGAGATGTGAACTTGATAAAAATTAACTTTTTTGTGCATTTAATAGGTAAATTGTATCTTGAAATAACATAAGATTCTTCTTTATTCTTATTTACTGAAATCTTATAAAAATCTTTAAAAATATTGATTACACAAAACCGAAGTAAAATTTCTATATTCATAACTGTGACCCCTACCCCGTGAAAACTGTTTCGTTTATAAGGCCTGCATGAAGTAATTACTATTTATAGTAAATTATATGTAATATATTATTACACTAATAAAGATTAATTAAAATTGAGAGTTTAATTGCAAGACTTTTAAATAAATTGTAGTTATTAACTTTTTTTTTCTAATCGTTAAATTTATGTTTATACTAAAATGTAGTTACTTTTTTTTTTACGTGGTTTTACTGAATTAAATGATTCAAATAATTCTCATTACTTTAATACAAGGACATTCTGTACATTTTTGCACATTTCTTAGCTGTCTTAATCTATCAGAATGAAAAGTGTGACAATACTTTCAATGACAAGTGTCCTTGTGTAATAATATTATAAAACACTTATTAATTTAAACTTAAAGGTATATTACACAAAATAACTAAAATTTGTTTAATATTTAATGATGTTAAAAATTAGCTTAAAATGCAACTAGATCAACTAAAATAATTTAGTTAAATTAAATGGTTTTCGAAAAATAGTAAATAGTGTGTTGAAACGATTAAATTTGGTCTTATGTTAATAAATAATAACTTGATGATCTCATTTCAGTGATATATACTGCTATGGGCCATTACTGCACGTGATTCAAATGTCTAGTATATTCCCGGATTCGAAAACATTTGTGGATATGAAAATGAAACACTCTCCAAATGAAACTATGAGCATATTTTTGGAAATGATGAAGAAAACGGGACAAAGACCGTCTAAATTAGAATTGGAGCTTTTCCTAAACGATACTTTCGAGAGCGAAGGCAGTGAATTTGAAGCATGGGACCCGTCAGATTGGAAGCCTGAACCAAAATTTATTAGTGGTATTAAGGATCCACATTTCCAAGATTGGGCCAGAGGCTTACATTTGCTGTGGAAGCTCCTGGGTAGGAAAATAAAAGACGACGTACGCCTGCATCCTGATCACTATTCTATTATTTATGTACCGTATCCGGTAATCGTACCTGGTGGTCGGTTCCGTGAATTCTATTACTGGGACTCTTACTGGATCGTTAGAGGCCTGTTGCTTTCCGAAATGTATACTACAGTCAAGGGAATGTTGAGTAACTTCTTATCGATCATTAACACCTATGGTCATATTCCAAACGGAGGTAGGGTTTATTACGCTATGCGGTCTCAACCACCAATGTTAGTGCCGATGATGCAGAGTTACATCGAAGCAACGAATGACACAATGTTCCTCAGAGAAAATGTTGATATATTGGAAAAAGAATTCAGCTATTGGATGCTAAACCATACAGTTGACATAGAAAAGGACGGCAAAGTATATACGTTGGCCAGGTATAAAGATTCGTCTACGGGACCTAGACCCGAATCCTACAGGTGAACATGTTTTTTAATTATTTCTAAAATATTATAATAATATAATTATTTATATTATAATATTATAATATATTATACTATTCAAAATATTGTAATTTTAAAGATAATCAAATATTAGTCAGACAAATCCATAGAAAACTATCATTTCATTACTGTAACATCAAATTATTTTTAACATTCTAATAAGATATTAATAAGATATTCAATATTTGAATTATAATACTTAAGTGTAATTATAATATGTATAATCATGTTGTACGTTTTCACAGGGAAGATATCATGAGCGCACAAACATTCAAGACCGATAACGACAAAGAAAATTACTACTCTGAGCTAAAAGCCGCTGCAGAATCTGGGTGGGATTTTTCAAGCCGTTGGTTTATTCTAAATGGAACCAATAAAGGTAAATCAATTACTAGTGTATGATTTTTAGGCAATAATTTCTCTTCAGTTTAAATAACACTAAAAACTATCTTCCGTGTCTAAAAAAATTTCTGTGTTTACTTAATTACTGATTAAAAAATGTCTTGTTTCGTTGCTATAGGTAGTTTATAATAACAAACCACCAATTTGATATCACCTATTAGATAAACTAACTAAAACGCCAAGTCATAAATGTATTTTTAAACAATAGTTTTGGGCTCAGTGTACACTCTATACTGCGGATACTATCTATACTTATAACACTACCGGATATTTTTTCTTTCATTGCTCAAGGTTATATTACGCATTTGGTTTTTCTTTTCTGATAATTTATTTATTATGTTTTTTTTTTTTTTTTATCAAAGAAAAATTTTTTTTATAAAATCATGACTTGGTCAACCATGACCTGTGGTGGTCTCCATTGAGATTTGTATCCAAGAACTTTTACTTTTATTCATTTATTACTCTTTAATGTAGAATAGTTTTCTTTTCTTTTTTTTTATATAAACATATGTGTATATTACATATGAATATAGGTTTCTATGGGAAATTTTTGTTCATATTTTGCCCTATAGAACCTATGCAAAATGTTTGCCAGAAATGTAATAAATAACAATACGTTATTATTTAATTGTAATATAAAATATAAAATGTATTATTTGAAAAATTCACGCTATATTTTTAAGTAAAGGTTTCAATTTAAAAAATTAAAGATTTTTGTTGTAAATACTTTTCCGGTATGTACGTGATAACATTTAGATAAATACTTTCATTGCAGGAACTTAATAAAATTAACTAAAAACATTAGTTTTACAAACAAATTGTCTATCTATAAAATTAATAAATTATCAATTACATGAAAACAACTTTTGAAAAATTGTATTTGACAACTTAAAAAAAATAATTAAAGTAATATAATTTTTATAAATGTAAATTATTTAATTTGTTGGGTTTTCACATTTTATCAAACTTGATGGAAATTAACAATTTTAACAACTAATTTTTAAGAATCTAAACAAAAATGTATTCATTTTAACTCAACCTAATTGATTTGATAATAAAATAATTTATTAAGATAAAGTATGTTTTTAAATGCATTTGTTTTCAGCTACATGATATAAAAACTTAATTTGGATTGTATTTATCTAAAAACAATTAGCATTGTTGACATTTTGATTTTCGATTAGAATTGTTTGGTTAATTTTATACCATTTGTATTCTTAGAATCAAAAAATTATTTTATAATATTATAAAAAGTGAACATAATTTTTTGACAATTGTAATTAATACACCTTACACCTCTACTATCAAAAAATGTCAAAGTGCTGTTAAATAATTTATGTCTACCTCTATACACTATGGTAAAAAAACCTTGAAAATTATTATTTTAGAAATAAAATATTTACACTATATGAAAAAAATAATATTTAATTTAACACTTGAAACTTAAAACATTTTTTTCTTTATGAAAATGACAGATAATTATATGAACAGTATTATATTATAATTAAAATAAATAAGTGTGCTAATTTAAACGCCTGTATTAAATCTATTTTAGTCTTTATTATTTCAAAATTTTAAGTAATTTAATACGATAGTTTAATGAATAAATGAATGAATATCTTTCAATCGTGATTTTAATACTGATCTCGATTACTTAGTATAAATTAATTACATTTTTGAATTCTTTACTAGTTTAATTTATTGATGATTTTTGAAAATTGTATGCGTTGTGGAAAAACTGTTGGTAAAATTAAGTTTATATAATTTTATGACCTTGAAATACACCTTACTGTATATTATTTTATATTATATACTTTAACATATATATAGTGTATATGTTTAATTAAACTTTAATTGCTATTTAAGTCAACAGTTAAATTTGAACCGGTTGCATTATTTTTACTAATGTATGTAAGTATATCACATCTCATTCGTTTATATTATTTTATAATTATCATTATTATTTTTACAATATAGTTTTATAATATTAAAACGGTTTTATAAATATTTTCTGATTTAAAAATAAAGTATTTGTTTTTTGAAAACTATATGTAATTATTTGTAATTAGTCGAAAGAATTATTAACATTTAATGAATACATAAATCTAGCTTGAGAATTTAATGCATTTCTATTTATAATGTTTATTGTACATTTACACTTTAAATTAATTAGCTAAACGTTATATCTCCTTGTATATGAATTAAATATTTATTGTAAGTATCATAGTTTGATGTTTTAATTTGTGAATAAAAACTGTCTATAAAATAAAAAAATATTTAAGCTTAAAATAGTTGCTTGGAGTTTGTGAAACTAATAATGTAAAAATAGTTTTTTCATTTACTATAACAATTTAATATAAGAAACGTTTTCCTCAAATATAGTCAAATAATTTAGTATATGGCTCTGGTCATTAGTTTGTTAAATATACATATAAATGCGTAAGTCTAGAAACTGTAGTGATATAATTCATAATTGTTTGCATATCATTCTTATCTAAAATACTTAATGATTGTTGGGCATTATAAAAAAATCTAGTTTATTTGATAACACTGAAAATACTATGATTATCTGGTTAAATGTAATCGTGAATGAACTACTAAAAGGAGTAATAATTTTCCACGTAACGAACCCCGTGGCACACACTAGAAGGTTCGAGGGTAAAACCTGTTATTCTTAAATTTTTGTAGTTAGGTGGACCCCTAGCCCCAAAATATTCACATCAAAATTCTATTACGTATTAAAATAATAAAAATAAACTATAGAATAATATAGGCATTAGTTTATTACCTTATATAGAGTTAACCGACAAAATACTAATGAGTATTTTATCATCCATAATAACACAGTTAATTTAAGACATTTGCCAATAACAGTAATATTATTATAAAATGCTTTATTATATTAATTTTTATTTGTTTACAAAAGCTTATAACTGAGTCCAAGTATACATAAATTGTATTTATAGTAAAAATGTTGTATTATTAAATATTATTTAAATATAATTATATTTAATAATTACCCAAGAACCTATATTTTATTTAAATTAACATTCAATTTCTTAGTATTAAATTATTTAAATTGAAGATTAAATAAAAAAAAAAAAAAAAATTGAATATTTTATTAATATTATAGTAATAACTATTTACAAGGTTTTGGACCTCTATTTAAGGTGGTGTGGGGCAAAAACCTCTTCGGGTCTGTTTTTGAAAGTGGCTTAGTGGGTGGGTGGTATTTTTTCTTTCAATATACTACAACTATTTATTTTTGAATGTGTGCCACTGAATATACTTGTATAGTGGTGACGATCAAAAAAATCGAAAACATTTTGGAGAACAGGTCATAAATGACTGTGCAAATGAGCTTAGGTATCTGGGATCGTATTGATAAGTGGTGACAAAATATAATTTTCCTAACAATGTGGGTGTGTAAATGTTGAATGATGAGTGTACCTACATACCTCACCATTCAATGTGTCATCAGGTTTAGAGGTGGAACTAAGAACTTTTATGCCCGGAGAAAATGTTAAAATTATGCTCTATTGTAGACCAAGAATCAAATACTCTCCTCTATAAATGTTTTCTAATTATGAGCTTACCATCATACTTATTGAGTTTTAAATATATTATTAGTAATAAAGTTAAAAATATCGAAGTAGTGGTCAATAATAGATTATACACTAGAAAAATTATACTCTCTAAAGTTTTACGCCCAGGCATAAATCCCCTTATAGTTTTGCCACTCAAGTTTAGCTGATCAGGTCTTTAACCGACGTGTGCGTGGTATGATTGCAGGTAATCTGACGAACTTAAAAACGCGGTCGATCATCCCGGTGGACTTGAACGCCCTGGTCTATTGGAACGCAAAGATACTGAGCCAGTTCTACAAGGACCTGAACGTACCGGACAAGGCACTGAGGTACGAAAACATCGCCAAAAAGTGGATCGAAGCAGTGACAGCGGTGCTGTGGCACGAAGAGGTAGGCGCGTGGTTGGATTACGACATGTTGAACGAGATCAAACGCGATTACTTTTACCCAACAAATATATCGCCGCTGTGGACCGGCTGCTACGACCCAGCCAAGGCCGAGTACTTTGTGTCGCGGACGCTCAAGTATCTGGAAAAGACACAGATCATGAACAACCTGGGTGGCATTCCTACCACGCTGGAGCACTCGGGCGAGCAATGGGACTACCCCAACGCGTGGCCCCCGCTCCAGTACATAATGGTCATGTCGCTGGACAGCTCCGGTGACAGCTGGGCCCAAGACTTGGCGTTCGAGATAGCTGAACGGTGGATGCGGTCCAACTACAAGGCTTACAACGAGACCAACGCCATGTACGAAAAGGTGAGTGTTACGGTTAGCGGAACTTACACTCGGAGTACTTGCTGAAGTAAGTATATCTTCAGGTGAAGTGCTAAGTCAGGGTGGGGATGTTTAATGTTACGGTCGACCGTTGAATGTAACAGTCGAAATGGAGACATAAAAAAGTCGACAAGTCGAGGGAAAACGAAGGAATATCAATAGCGATCCATACGGGTTTCTCAGTTGTTCTTTTCAATTGATTTTCAGACAAATTTTTACTAACCCTTGGGCAACGAGACAACGTACTAAGAAAATCAAAATCCTCTTTAGGAAACGTACTATTTATATTGTTCAATCTTAAGTTGTCCTCAATATTATAATTTTTTATCAACGTGATATTATACTGAATAATTCATTTGATGCAGTTGCATGAAGAGTGTATAAATTACGTACAACTTATTTGCTTATACGATGTGTACCACAGGTGTTCTCACGAGGGGGGGGGGATATGGGTTACATGGGAACATAATTTAACGGGCAATACACTAATAAATTATGTATGTATATGCAATTACATACATGTATACATATATTTTTTGCTACTGAATTTAATTTAAAAAAAATTGTTATTAAATATTTTATTATTGTTTATTAAAAAATTGATATATTTTTGTTTGTTTACGATGCTGACAATGTGTTTCAGCAAGAAAGTTTTCTATTTTGTTTAGACAACCCAACATTTCTTCAGAATTTTTTACAGAGGATAATACTTTTCGAATTTCTGTTAAGTGTTGCAAACACGTAAACAAGTAAAATTTTTATTTTTATTTTCACAAACCTAATAAAATTTATCATAATCTGCTAAACAAAAGAGCGTTTTATCCAATAAGATAGAGAAAAACCGAGCGTTTGAATAGGTGATTTTTACATTGATTAGTATAGGAAATGTCTAGGGAACGACAAAAAATAGCGTCTTGTGCGGGAAAACGTCTTAAGCGAGTTTTACTGTATTTGAATATTATAATAGAACAATAAATTGATTTTAGTCATTTCTAACATATGAATGCTAAATAATTATGGTTATAATTATATTGTATATTTTTAATTTTTATAATAATACTGTATTTTATTGGAGATCCATTCTATAGGCACTACTAACAAATTATTAGTTGAGTTACTGAAAATAACTAAAAATAACGCTTTCATTTATTTTTTTTTATACCGTCTGTATAAAATAGTTTTATACCACTGTAAATTTAAACTCACATCTCTAGAAATTGGTATACAAATTACAGATTATAGACCACGGTTACAAATTAATATCTGTAACCTAATATTATATTGATGTAAAATGTAAACAATAAATTAGTTTCACGATACCATCGATTATACAAGTGATAACATATTTATGTTTATCAATTGTTTTTATCTACTTGTATATTGTATTGACGAGTTACGACTAACGACTGACTTGTATTTTTATTTTTGATCAAAATGAAACAAAGTAATTCAAGTATACTAAATTTTTTTTCAAAAATTAAAAAATTAATATTATAACTTCATATTTTTCATAACTTGATGTCATTCATAAAATGGTCTTGACGGATTAAAATTGTTGGTTGTCCATAGAGAAATTCCAATTAATTCTCAAGTTCTCGAAATTATGGTTCAAAAATCAAAAAAACTATGTATTATTTCGTAAATTTAATATTTTAACTGACAATTTATTATTTTTTAATTCTCATTTAATGTATAATGTTTTTATATAAAAAAGGGGGTATGGGGGCTTGGCCTCCATGGTTATCCTTTTAATGTATTTTCATTTCCCCCCTCCCCACAATAAAAAATCCTGAAAACGCCTTTGATGAGTACACTTGATGTTTATCGATAAACTGTCGAGATTTTTTATTTTTGAACGATATTATTTCTTTGATGAAATTCTCGATGTTAGAATTCTAGAATAAATATATACATTTCAATTTGTCTCGGTTAGATTGTTTCTCGTATAAATATTCTATGGATGGATCGGAAGCTTATCTAAAATAAAATGTTCCGTTTGATTCGAACTTAGACCGTTTTTTCGCTATATCACAAATGTTTGAAGGTTTTCCGTCTATCGAAAAAGGTTCATTGTTATGTATCTATATATTTGGTAAAATTTCTAACCGTAGTTGAGTCAACAGAATTAGAAATTTCCCACCTAGTTTAAAACCTAGGCTTTCTTTGGGAAAAAATGTGTATAACTTAACTACTCGCATGGGTAGACGAAAAAACGTAATATGTCAAAATGGGCCTGCGACATTTTACCCATACAGGTTTCTATGTATTAATTATTTATTTATACGTACAATATGCTGCATTTATCCCACATAATTGTTTATCGTTTTATTTTAATATATACATTTGTTGACAGTATGACGCCACCGTTACTGGAGGACACGGCAGTGGGGGTGAGTACGAGGTACAGTTGGGTTTCGGCTGGACCAACGGTATAATCATGGAGTTCCTGCAAAAATACGGTTCGCGGGTCACGGCCGAGGACAAGTTCGTCGGTTCGGCGCAGGTCAGTGCGGTCGCGGAAGAGAGCACCGCTAGCAGCAACGACTACAGTACGAAAACTGTATCGTCAGCGACGCAGGTCATGACCGCCACACTTGCAATACTGGCCACGATATCGGCCGGATGTATAGGGTGAGGTGAGTGTCGATTTTTCTTGTGAAACCTTATAACGGTAGCCATGTAAATGGATAAAATTAGTTTCAAAGTGCTATTATGCGACGGGTGGTGTCGATGTTTTTACTGTTGAATACCCTAACGAGTCCGTAGATGGAACAGTAAGAGGGATTAAGAGTGTACAATATGTCATTTTGCATTTTCGAAATCCGGTGAAAATCAAAAAATTGAATTGTATTTTTGTTTTTTAGCTGACATGAATCAATAGTAATTTATTTCGTTAACTATAAGTTCTCTATTACGGATTAATGAAAGTCAGGATTAATTACATTTCAAAAAATAAATAACTTAAATCGTATTATTTGCAATGCGAAATTTCAAAAGAATACGATTATCCAATCATTTTATCGCTCATAATTAAAAATTAAGGAATCAGTTTACATAGAATTTTTTATACCACAATGATTGTGCGTATTCATTGTAATCAAATTAGTGGACTTTCTGAATTCCATTACAATTACCTAAAACCTCACTGGGCATTGTGTAATAAATATGAGACCGTTGTATTACTTAGTTTTAGCATCACAAATATCCCCTTTGTTTGCTTCTCGTCACACTAAAATAATTAGTTTCTACCTTCATTTTTCACACACCCATAAAACAGTTAAATGTAATTGTTATAAAACTGTGTTAGCGAGATAAAATAAAATAAATGTCAAATGTTATCGATACGATTCGATAAGTTTAATAGGATATTATTTCATCAGCATATAATAATATGATAATTGTACGTAGGCGTCGTTCCGCTAATAATTGTAATGTTATCGAAGCTGAACAATCTCGGTTATTTTTCTTTTCGCCGTGTTCCGTCGGTGGCCATGTATTCTGTACTTTCGTGTATGCACAATAAATAAGTATAACCTATTGTTGTCGTGCAGGAAAAATAATAAGGGCGACACTCACCACCACTTCCCGTACGTGCGTGGAACAGGCGCGTTTGACGGCCATCGGTTTTCTGCGGAACGGCGAAAAATGCATGAGCAGCGTAAAAACAATAGTAGCCGTCGGCTGCGACCGTCCGTACGCCCGGTTTGAAATAAGCGACAAATAGTTTTCGAATAACGAGTATGCCGTTTAACATTCATTCGAATAGTCACCTACCGTTTGCAAAACATTGAATTGTAATCGGACGATAATTACGTTTGACGCGTTGTTCCACGGGCGGACGGACAATTATGTTATTGCGCGTATCACGGTTAGAACGTGTCAAATGCGTCCTATGATAATCCGATCTCGAAACAAGTACGTGCGTTATTCGAAAAATGATCCGGAGAGACGTTTTCGAACCAACCGCGGCAGTTGCTTGATTCTCCAAACACCGCGCGGCTATAATACAATTCATAACAACTCGCGATTTTCTCCAACGTTTTACCGGAAACAATTTGGCTAGCAGACAATGCGAACGAGAATTCAACAATCGGATATCCGCGTCGGTTTTACGTTATTACAAACCATCTAATGACACTCTGCGTACGAGCACTGAATATTTTTGTAGGTACCGGTGCGTGTTTTATCTTTTAGTAGTTCGCGAACAGTTTGTGCATTACTTATTGTACAGTTTGATTTTTTGCTCTCAATATTGTTCAATTATTTCGCACGCCGTTTTATATAAAAAAAAAAAAAAAAAATACTGATATCGTACGCAGCACGTTATGTTAAACTGTATTAAATTATGTACAGTATGTCTGTGTTCTTATAGACTTACTAACGATACCGTTCGATTCGGCTCCGTTATGATATCATTGTTCTATAGTCGAAGATAATGGAGCCACATTGTTTTACGTACGTAGCAACCGATTCGTGAGTGCGTTTCACGTGTATTTCAATATTCATGAAAATATTTGCGCTGTAATCTGCGTTTAAACGTGAACTATAAATCATACAATATATTGATTTGTTAGAATTTTCGATAAACAGTGGAAAATAGATTTAAGTTCCATATACGATGATCGCTAACGTGATACAGAGCTAACGACATTTTAAGAAATAAACAAAAATCATCTTTGTATCATATATGAAAATAAACTTTATATTTAAATTTCTTTGAATTGACACGTTTTATTAATCATTGTTTGAGACTTATTAAATAATATTATTACCTAATTGATTACCTTATTTTGATTGTTTCTTACATTGCTTTTTGGTATTGATGAAGAAGTCAAATTATTACTCATTAAAATTATTTTTGTAAAGAATTCTTACAGTGCTCAGAATATATTTTTTCAAACAACTGTATTCGTGTAGTGGCGATTTTGTAACCAATGAAAACCATGTAAAATTTGATCATTATTATCATTATACGGGAAAACATTGTAATATTTACTTGTATGGAAAAACATAAATCGATTGTTGCACTTAATTTATTTATTTTTGATAATTGTTTCTAAAAATTACACTAATTAAAATGTTTGTATTTTTTTCAGATTTTTAGAAGTTATATTAAATAGTTAAATTATAAGAACATTCCCTTATGAAAAATCGGATGGATCTCTTAACTATCAGGTCAGACGAATTTAACAGAGAGGTTTATTTAGTTGATCATTAATTTCATTTTATGCTATCATATATTAGCCTAATTTTGTTTTTATTTTGTTTTTTTTTTTTGTTTATTTTTTTTTTTTTGTTTTTGTATTTGTGAGTTAGTTAGTGTTTATGCTTTAATTTATCCACACATACAATATTTATGTTGCCAAAAAAAATCATAATAATAACAATAAAATAGGTAAAATAAAATTACATATCCTACGAAAAAAAGAACTTACCAAGCAAAACGAAAAGACCTATGGATAGATTTAAAGTTTATTATCTGAATTTATTAATTTTTTATTATATAAATAGTCTATTAACTATTAATTAATGGAGTTTAAGTTCCTTCGAGCAATCGTATTGCTGTGAATTCAACCAAAATTATTAGAGTTGTTTGCACAGTATATTTGCTTAACATTTTAATTGAAAAATAAAACAAAGTGATGTAATATGTTAAGGTTTTAAATTATAGTTTAGCACGTTTTAGTGAGATTTATACAAATTGCGCGTCTTTTATCTAACGAGTAACAAAATGTGTACATGCCTCGTATAGTCGGTTTGTATGTTTCGTTCTTTTTTTTATTTTCTTTATTATTTTTCTTACGTGTTTGACATTCACTCCAAATAATTTTAAACAATAAGTAAACATTATCTTTCTATGGTCGATTTGTTCACTCATCACCCACTGGGATACACATAACTAAACATCAATATTTATATCCTATCGTATAGATATATTATTTATTATTATATTTTTAAGTGATTATATTTTACATATACTATTATTATGTGTATTATGTATTACTAGGTATATATAATTATTATGACACTTTATTATTTATTTATTTTTTATTTATTCCAATTATGCTAAGCGTAAATATTAATTATTATTTTTCATAAATTTAAAGATAGCATTTAAAACAAGCCTTCATAAACTAAATTTAATAATATTTTTAATGCGTGTTAAAAATCATTGTATCGATAACGACGAATTTTATAGTTATTTTATATCAGTAATAGTTAAAATATTAAGTTTCTTTTGAAAAAAAAAAGTAAAACATTTTCCAATTATTTCGGATGTGATATATAAATATAAATTCATAAAAATAAGTCTATGGTTTCGTGATATTATTACTGCAAACATTGCGCTTATTGGCACATATCTGTTTCTTGATTTTCGGTTGGTCAATGTATAGTATTGTTAAACCAATTATGGTGCTGTGAAAGACTAATCGAAAATGTTTATCTCAAATTAGTTTTATTGTCAAGCATTTTTTTTTCTTGGCACTACCGTTATTATATTCTAGTGCAAATATAGGTTTTTGTCAAAATATACACCGCTTCCAAGTAGTTCCTATGGTAGAATCCTAGTAATTTTAACACGTAATAAATAATAATATTAACTAACACCGTCATTAACATTTTAATTCTGTTGTTATTATACATAACCATATACAACATACATACATGATACACGTACACTATATACATGTAAGACATATATATATGGGTTCTTTTTCACTTTCGCGCTGTAATCGAATCTAGTCAATCGTCAATCGTTAACACCATCATTAACGTTATGAGCTGGATCATTCTGTCATGTATGTTTATACAATCACTTAATAAACCCGTTTTCGGTTCAATATATTATTTTATAGTAGTGCACCACAGAAAAAAACCGGTAGTAAGAGGGACGGAGAAATTATTTAAAACAAACGCGAGCGAATTGCTAATTCAAAAAAAATTCGGAATTTTTAACTGAAGGGTATGAAAAATGCTTTTTATTGTAACACGTACAACGATTTCGTAATTTTTTTTTTATAGTAGTCGTTTTAAAAACACATTTATAAACATAAAATCAATAATATATACATGGTTGTAGAAAGCAGAATGACCATACAAAAACCCTCTCCTTTCGCTTAGATCCAGTTATTACAGCGTAGTTATCTTTGTAATCGTTTTCAATGAGATTAAATATTGAAAGTTCACACATTCTGTTACTATGCAACATATTTTATTCCGCAATGTCAAATACTAATTACGCTATCGTTAAAATTTAACACAAATCAGGTACCGTTACATTTGTTGAATTATTATTTTTTTATAGATTATATTTCAAAAAATTTCTACCGAATGAACAGCAATATTTTATACTGCTGTGTAATATACACACTTTACATCTATACATGTATATATATATATAGTCCGTAATAAAAATTAAAAAAGTAAATACCGTCGTTGTGTTATCTTGACATAAATATTGTTTGAACGTAACTCATAACGTGCCTCGTTGTTTTACTCTATAATTATAAATACGATCGTAACATAAACCGATTAGCGTTACATGTGCTTTAAGATATTTAATTTATTTATTATTTAAATAAATATATACATATATATATTTATAGGACTTTTTTTTAACAAAAGAGATA